CACACACACACACACACACACACACACACACACACACGCACCCACAACTGTTTCTAGTGCGCTCATTTACTGCTTGCTTCGGACTCCCTCTCCCCTCTCATCTCGGATGCATCCGAACTTGGCTTACTCTTGCCTAACGAAAACCTTGCAACTCTTGTACAGCTACACTTGTGGTTTTCGCGTGTTCCTCGAACATGCGTCTCCTGTGCCACGTCGACATGAAAAGAAAATTCAGTGCGATCATCCACACTCTCTCTGTCTCTCTCTGTGTCTCTGTCTATATCCCTGTCTCTGTCTCTGTCTCCCTCTCCATCACTCTGACACGCTCTTTCTATCTCTGTCAGCTATGTCTAGATCGTAGCGAAGTGACTCACAGCCGAGACACTCCGGATGGATCAGAAATGTGGTGGATGATGGTGCAATGTTTCTCTCTCTCTCTCTCTCTCTCTCTCTCTCTCTCTCTCTCTCTCTCTCTCTCTCTCTCTCTCTCTCTCAGTTTCGCAAAAAATACTTCTTGAACTGTGTCTCAAAAAACACAGGGGAAGCTTCAAACCGAAGGGTCTATACTAGTTCGACACTTCGGATACGTCTGTAACACGAAATGCTGTGGGTGACTATACGGTGCTTGTCTTTTCCATCTCTCATCCCTCTGGCATGCTAATATGCCATTTCTTGCGGGCTTCCTCTTTGTCAATCTCCTGTGATCTCGGATATATCCGAACTTCACTTATCTGGGAAAATCACATTGCCTTGCTGCTCTTCTGCAACGATCGTCTGAAATGCTTTTAAAAGCGAGGCTGATGATCTCCGCGTGTGCTCGACCCTGCGCCGTCCGTGCGGCGTCTCGAGAAAATTAAGTACAGTCTCTCTGAGACACTCTGTCTCTCGCTCTTTCTGTCTCTCTCTCTCTTTCTATATCTCTCGCTCTTCAAATGTACATAACCATTTCTTGTGGACTTCCTCAGTTTGTCTATCTCCTGTGATCTCGGATACATCCGAGCTTCGCTTATCTTGGAAATTCACATTACCTTGCTGCTCTCCTACAACGATCGTCTGAAATGCTTAAAAAAACGAGGCTGATGGTCTACGCGTGTGCTCGACCCTACGTCTCCTGAAAATTAAGTACAGTCTCTCTAAGACTCTCTGTCTCTCGCTCTTTCTGTCTCTCTCTCGCTCGCTCTTTCTGTCTCTCTCTCTCTCTTTCTATCTCTCTCGCTCTACACATGTACACGATCATCGGTGCAGAACTCCAATTCATTCTGGTCCTCACACTTCTAAATACAGGTCATCCTACTCCTCTAAGTCTGTGAAGAGCCACAACTCGTTTTACTCACAAACTCGAGTTTGTGTCATTATACTGTTCTGATTCGGATGAGTGGGATGCTCAACTCCAAGTGAAACTATGACACAGTGTAATATATTACTCTGGCAGTGTTCTGGTGTTCCACATCTGGACACAGGAGATATATGTACTGCGGCAACAGTACATATAACATAGTGGTAGCAGATATATGTTCTGACTCAGAGGCATATAACACAGTGTATGCTCTGCTGTGGTGTTCCACATCTGGACACATCCGAACCACGAGAGGAGCGCAGCAGATATATGTATTGACTGTGCTCCTCGTCTCAAAGCTGATTTGACTCCTTGTTCGGATGTATCCATATCTGGAATACTACACCAGACTATACATTGTGTCATAAATTCGTTCCAAAATAGTACACACAATAATGTACTGTTTTAACGAATAACATGTTTTAGGCTGTGTATACCAGACTTTCCATCCGACATTATGTAGCTTACGCTGCATTGCATGCACCCTGCATGGAGCTTGCTCCGCATCCTATATTTCTCAGCTTTCTTTATTGCAGAGTTCCACTGCTTTTGCGGATAGCGTGTTTATGGCTTTTGCGATCCATTACAGGTCTGAGGATCGTGCAGCGGGCCTCTTTCTGCCCTGGCCTACAGCCATGGCCTATTCGGTTATTTGCCAGTTTGGCCTGTGGGACCAGGCCGTGGCCTGACCCCACAGGCTGTGTACTGTTTCAGTCCAGTCCAGTCCTGCCCGGTACCACTGTCGGTACCAGGCCAGTCTAGTCCAGTACTCCCCAGTCCAGTCAGTCCGCTGGGCGTATACCCCAGCTGCAGTCTGTATTTCGTCATTCTTCACTTTTGCACATCTTGGAGTACGTGTGTGTTGAGTCCACGTCCGAGCTGCGCTGTCCCTTCCAGCTCCATCTACACCTCCTCCTCCGTCAACCCTTCTTCTCCATCCTCACGGACCGCCATCCCGGCGGGTCCGGCACATTCCCACTATTGTGGGTTGGGATGAGGGATGTGAGAGATCCATCACTCTCCCCCCGTTTTTTATTGCATTTTTTTTTTATTAAACTGAAATGGCTACAAAAGGTTCTTACGCTAGACATGATCCCTACTGTTGTGGGTTGGGATGAGGGATGGGAGAGATCCATCACTCTCCCCCCTTTTTTATTGCTTGTTTTATTGTTCTTTGTTTTTGAAATCGCAATGAAAAGTTCCTGCGCTGGACATGATCCCCACTGTTGTGGGTTGGGATAAGGGATGGAAGAGATCCATCGCTCTCCCCCTTTTTTTAATTGCTTTTTTTTAAAAAAATAAACTGAAATAGCTACGAAAGGTTGCTGCGCTAGACATGATACCCACTGTTGTGGGTTGGGATAAGGGATGAGAGAAATCCATCACTCTCCCCCCTTTTTTTATTGCTTTTTTTTTTTTGTTTTTTTTAAGTTCGCTTCGAAAGTTGCTGCGCTGGACATGATCCCCTCTGTTGTGGGTTGGGATGAGGGATGGGAGAGATCCATCACTCTCACCCCTTTTTTATTGCTTGTTTTATTGTTTCTTTATTTTTTCTTAATCGCAATGAAAAGTTGCTGCGCTGGACATGATCCCCACTGTTGTGGGTTGGGATGAGGGATGAGAGAGATCCATCGCTCTCCCCCCATTTTTTATTGCTTGTTTTATTGTTTTTTTTTTTGAAATCGCAATGAAAAGTAGCTGGGCTAGACATGATCCCTATTGCTGTGGGTTGCGATGACGGATGGGAGAGATCCGTCTCTCTCCCCCCTTTTTTTACTGCGTTTTTTTTTTATTAAACTGAAATGGCTACGAAAGGTTCCTGCGCTAGACATGATCCCCACTGTTGTGGGTATGGATGAGGGATGGGAGAAAAGTTGCTGCGCTTGACATGATCCCCGCTGTTGTGGGTTGGGATGAGGGATGAGAGAGATCCATCACTCTCCCCCCTTTTTTATTGCTTGTTTTATTGTTTTTTTTTTTTGAAATCGCGCGGCGCTGGACATGATACCCACTGTTGTGGGTTGGAATGAGGGATGGGATAGATCCATCACTCTCCCCCCTTTTTTATTGTTTTTTTTTTTTTTTAATGCCCGTTTTAAAAGTTGGTGCGCTGGAAATGATCCCCTCTGCCCTCCCCGGCCTCAACATTTTCCTTGATAATATCAGCCTTGGGCATTGGGCCCGTTGTAARAAAAAAAAAAAAAAAAAAAAAAAAAAAAGGAAATGATCCCCTCTGTTGTGGGTTGGGATGAGGGATAGGAGAGATCCATCACTCTCCCCCCTTTTTTATTGCTTGTTTTAGTAGGCTACCAGCTGGGCCGCCCCGCTAACCCTATTTTCCCGGGCGGCCCGGCCGTGCAAGGACAAGGGAAGGTCCCAGCCAAAAAAGGAAAAAAAACAAAAACGAAGTCAAAAAAATCCGAAAAAAAACTATGTTATGCAGAAAACTAAACTGGACAACGTTTGCCTCAGCATCACATCGAAATTCCTTACCAAATTTAAAACATAAATGTTAATTAAAAAATATTTTATTTTCTATTTTTGTTATTTCTTTTTTGCCCGGCCGGGCAAGTGGACCCGGGCCACTCTGGTAGCCTAGTTGTTTTATTGAATTTTTTTTTTTTGAAATCGCAATGAAAAGATGCTGCTCTGGATATGATCCCCACTGTCGTGGGTTGGGATGACGGATGGCGGAGATCCATCACTCTCCCCCCTTTTTTATTGCATTTTTTTTTTTATTAAACTGAAATGGCTACGAAAGGTTGCTGCGCTAGACATGATCCCCACTGTTGTGGGTTGGGATGAGGGATGGGAGAGATCCATCACTCTCCCCCCTCTTTTATTGCTTGTTTTATTGTTTTTTTTTTCAAATCGTAATGAAAAGTTGCTGCGCTGGACATGATCCCCACTGTTGTAGGTTGGGATGAGGGATGGGAGAGATCAATCACTCTCCCCTCTTCTTTATTGCTTGTTTTTTTTTTTTTTTTTTTGAAATTGCTWTGAAAAGTTGTGGTGATGGACATGATCCCCACTGTTGTAGGTTGGGACGAGGGATGCGAGAGATCCCTCACTGTCCCCCCTTTGTTCTTGCGGTTTTTTTTTTTTAAATCGCTGTGAAAAGTTGATTCTTTAGCTCTGATTCCCACTGTTGCGGGTTGGGATGAGGGACGGGAGAGATCCATCACTCTCCCCCTTTTTTCATTTTTACTGAAATGGCCAACCGAGGGAGGGGGTCTGGTGGATCCGGAACGTCGGACCCCCTCGGCCAGCCGAGCCAGGGATTCAGCGTATCCGGAACACGGACCGCTGGCTACGCTGGCAAGGGGTCCGACGGATCCGAAACGCCGGACCCCCTCGCCCAACCGAGCAAGGGGTCTGAAGGATCCGGAACACCGGACCCCTAGCCCAACCGAGCAAGGGGTCCGGCGGATTCAGAACGTCGGACCCCTAGCCCAACCGCGCAAAGGGTCCGGCGGATCTGGAACGCCGGACCCCTGCCTCGGTTGGCAAGGGGTCTGGCAGGTCCGGGACGCCGGACCCCCTCGCCTAACCGGGCTAGGGGAACAGCGGATCCGGAACGCCAGACCCCTAGCCCAACTGAGCAAGGGTCCGGCGGAACCGGAGCGCCGGACCCCTGCCTCGGTTGGCATGGGGTCCGGCGCGTCCGGAACTCCGGCCCCCTGCCTCGGTTGGCAAGGGGTCTGGGAGGTCCGGGATGCCGGACCCCCTCACCCAACTGGGCCAGGGGTACAGCGGATTCGAAACGCTGGACCCCCTCGCCCAACCACCCAAGGGGTCCGGCGGATCCGAAACGCCGTACCCCCTCGCCCAAACGAGTCAGAGGTCCGGCGGATCCGGAACGGCAGACCCCCTCGGCCAACCGAGTGAGGGGTCCGGCGGATCCGGTGTCGAGCGCATCGGCCCCCTTTTTAGCCCATTCAGCCCCTGAATCGCGCGGCTTAGCAGCTGCGCGACATTACTTTAGGTTGAATAGGTCTAGTTTTACGATTCCCATGTCCGCACATTCCTGCGGCTTCGAAAAAAACGAAGCATTGTCGTTCGCATTCGTTACTCCCGGACGCCACACGCGCCCGGACTAAAGTTCGAAAACTTCTAGTCTCTCAATCATAGGTCAGGTCTGAATAAGTTGTTTGGCAACGTCAGTCTCATCAGGTCCTTCAATCCAACGAAAGAGTCGGACAATGTCCGGCGTTTAAAATCCCTGGCAAATACCCTTGTCAGGTTATTTGCCCCGACACCGGAATGCCGGACCCCCTAGCCCAACTGAGCAAGGGGTACAGCGGATTCGGAACGCCGGACCCCCTCGCCCAACCGACCACGGGGTCTGACGAATCCGGAACGCCGGACCCCTGCCTCGGTTGGCAAGGGTTCTTGCAAGTCCGGGATGCCAGACCCCCTCCCCCGACCGAGCCAGGGCTACAGCGGATCCGGAACGCCGGATCCCTAGCCCAACCGAGCAAGGGGTCCGGCGGATCCGGAACGCCGAACCCATGCCTCAGTTGGCAAGGGGTCCGACGGATCCAGAACTCCAGACCCTTGCCTCGGTTGGCAAGGGGTCCGGCAGTTCCGGGATGTTGGGCTAGGGGTCTGGCAGGTCCGGGACGCCGGACCCCCACGCCCAACCGACCAAGGGGTCCGGCGGATCCAGAACGTCGGACCCCCTCGCCTAACCGGCCAAGGGGTCCGGCGGATCTGGAACGCCGGACCCCCTCGCCCAACCTGGCCAGGGGTACGGCGGATCCAAAACGTTGGACCCCCTCGCCCAACCGAGCACGGGGGTTCGTCGGGCCCCCTTTGGTAGGGGGAGGGGGTCTACCGGATCTAGGACGCCGGACTACTCACCACACGTGGCAGGGGTGTCCGACGAATCTGGAACGCCGACCCCTTCATTTCTTGGGCAAGGGGTCTGGCAGGTCCTGGACGTCGTATCCCCTCGCCCAAGGGCCGCAGGGTCCGGCGTTCCGGATCCGGCAGACCCCTCGGGTCACGGTCAAAGGTGGTCCATGTCCATAATCAGCTCTCCAGGCGACAAGTGCTTTTGTGTGTCGATAGATAAGGGGTGGTCGCCTGTTGCCTTCTTTTTGTCGTGCCTCCCTTCAGGAAAATTTGTCGCTTCCACCTCCGTCTCTAAGAAATGCTCGTACGGCAGGTCTAAGATCTACAACGACAAACCATGGGCTCTTGACTGGGTTGGCGGTCTTCATAAATTGGGGTGTGGAGCTTCTTGAGCGATGATAATGGCGGGAGTTTCTACTGCTGCGGAGGTGTGGAGAAATCTGAAGCAAGGAGGATGAACTATAACGGGAGGAAGTTCAGGACCTTCCTTACGTCTGTCTACGACAGCACAGGGAAAAACTGGGTCAAGGAAGACTGGAAGGTCTCTCTTGACCTGCGGCTCTTTTAAGGATACGACGTCAAGGCTTTCTTGATGAAAAGGTTTGACGTGCGTGGGGACGCCACAAAATTCTGAATGTTACCTCCGGAACAATTCCTCTTCAAAATAAATGGCTACCGCGTCACTGGCTACCTGCCCCTCGTCGACTGTGCTTTCGTGCTCAACACACCTCTGGTCAAATTCAAGCCCGACAGACCAGTTGGTAGGTGTGGTTATGTAATACAGGGAAGAGTTCTTGAAGCTGCTTACCATCCAGCAAGTCCACTGTTCTTTTGTGCCCTTTGAAGTGGGTCCCGCCGGCCAAAACGAGTGCGAAGAGGTAACAGTTGGAGGCTGGCCCACCTCCGCCTCTGTCGGGCGCGTTTGTCCAGGGTCTTCCAGTTGAGGCCTCCGCCGGGTGCGTTTATCCAAGGTCTTCCGGTTGCGACCGGTTGCGACCGGTCCAGTGAGGCAACAGAATACGACGACGATCTTATGCGCGACCGCGATGCTGCCCGTGAACATTCACATGGAGATGCAATTGCCCTCAATGAGGCGGAGTACGAGGGCCAAGAGGAAGGAGGCAGTGGTCGGGATGACGACGACGACATTGAAGGAGATGTGGATGTTGAAGACGACAACATGGAGGACTACGAAGGAGATGGCAGTGAGGACGTAGAGGACACCAATGTGCAGGACTCGCATGGTCGTGACGCCTTCTGCATCGGTGGTGCACACGTCGCTGGTGACCAGCCTTCAACCTCTCATGGAATATCGTAGTCAAACAACCAGACGAAGGGTGGGCGTGACGCACAAGGCTTAATGGGAAAGAGGAAGACAAATGAAAATTATCCCTCTCCTTCCAGTTAAAAAAAAAAAAGCGAGGACTGGCGTCGTTAATGAGGTTCGCGGAGCATTGACGACATCTTAGGAGGCGCGGCCTCCTCGAAAAAACAGCGGGGGGGGGCGAACTGGTACTCGTGGCGGCGGCCGTGTCGACGAAAAGAAAGGTTCGCAGAGGGTGAGACAACAAGAACTGCGGGACTCAGGGTATGAGGGCGAGAGGGTGGGGCCTCGCATGCTCGAAGGTGTTGACGACCCGGTTCAGTACGCCACGCCCATCGACACGATGCGTTGTTTCTTTCTCAAATATAACGAGCACGACTTTGCTAGGCAACACGTTCATGCTATTAACGTCGACGTCACAAGAATCAGACGCATTGCCCGTGGGAAAATTCTTTATAACCACCTCTCGTTGTCTGAGAACATCGTAAGAGGCATTGAGAATGTCATCAAAAGTTCCATCACTTGCGACTCGGCGGCGTGGGATAGGCCTCATTCTTGCACCAGTTGACCCGAATGACATTGTCGGCGGACAGGGAAGGCGAATCACACCAACCGAGTTATTCCAAAGGGACTATGCAGAGTTCTATTGGTACGTTGTCTGTGGTCAGCATACCGCCGAGGCCATGAAACGATCGGTGGCAAAGGTCTCCACCGCCGTCAAAGTTTATGGCCTCTAAGCGTACTCTAAAGTGTGAGTCGTCTATTTCGAGGATGACAAGATACGAGGGTACTTCAATGTCTCCGCCTTCGACAACGCATATGAAAATTGTGCCATGATATTGTCCTTCCAAGACGTTGTGCGTGATAAAAGGCAATGGTGGATCGATAACAACAGAATTGAGGTCCCCAAAGCTGAGGTCAGCGATAAGGATGACGTTGTCCTTGCGCACCAGAAAAAGTGGCAAAACTTCCTGAGGGCCTCCATGGGGAAGGCGTGCAACAAGGCGTTTATGAAGCAGGCACTCGAGAACGAATAAAGTAAGGATTGGAGTAATAAACTCCAGGGGTATATGAACCTCGCCACGTCCACCGACGAAGTATGACCACTGTTGGAGAGATTCTTTGCAATGTTCGAGGAAGGTAAGCTACAAATGGGCGATGGCAAGATCCCGCTTGACATGCCCGGGAGGATGGAGGGGTGTCTGTTAAGACCATAGTACACCGACGAAAGCAAGGGACAAAGGACATTGTATCATTGCATATATGCAAGAGATGGTCCCAAAGGCTCCACCGTATTCTGGAAGGATCTATGTCCTTCGTACTTCAAGAACTTTGGGGACATGACATTCCATGAGAGAGAAGTCGCGCTACTCCTGCTCATGAAGGGGAAGGTGCTGGCAACGAACGTGAAAGTCTCACCTCCAAGAGTGAACACTAAGTGTCTCCTCGACATGATGCGCAAAGAGAGATATATGGTTCTCATGTATAACTACGTGGTGTTCCGCGTCGAAGGGAGGGTGGATGACGAATAGAACGACGACTTCCTCATGTCGTACAAGAACCTCGAAGAAAGGTATGAACCAAAAGGGCTAGTATGCGCAACTGAATGAGAGAAGCTGCATAACAACAAAGTGAAGATGATCCCTTGACGACTTGGAGGAGTGGAGGAGGCAAGGCAAGGTGCGGGTTTGGGGCCTACAGAAGCAGTGTACAAGAAAGTTTCGTTTCACTTCAAGGTGTTCATATACACCGTCATCGATAAACTCGATTTGCTCCGAGCGGAGGTGAAACTTATCACCTCCAGCGCACGTCATCTTGTATGGGACAAACTAAGCAAACAGACGACATTGCTTCCTGTATGGATGTGGTCGAAGGAAGTATTGGCAGCGTCCGACAACAATGTCGCCTCAACACAAAAAATGGCATGCAGGGTCGCCATCATGGACATCTCGTCCTCCAATTTTAGCAGTGCATGAACCTCGCAAGACTTTGATGTGCTACACACAATGATGACCAAGTGTTGTGACCTGAATTGGGTTCACTTCTTCTTTGCACCGCAGAAGGTGCAAAACGATGTCTTGCGTCACTTGTTCCGCTGAGAGGACGTCGAACTCATCCCTGGGACCTAGCAACGAGTGGACAGGCCATCGAATGATGTCACAAGGTACGGTAATATCGCTACGATGAATCGATACATGATGGCCATTGTCCTGCACGCTGAAGGAGGAGATCTGAAAAAATTCATTACCACACCCCGACTTCTCAATGACCTCACCGAAGTGCAAGTTGTGAAGAAGAACTTCAGGAAGTGTCTCGGAAAACACGGTGGCATTGACGGCGACGAAAGTGTTGTGTATTCAATATGGGAGCGAGAACCTGGCAGGTTGTGTTCGTTGTGCGGTTCATTCATTGGAAAGGCGAAAAGTGTGTTTTTGTTAGGTAAGGCGCAAGCGGGTCTTGTGTGAGAGTTCTTGCTTGCAGGTAATAATGTTATTGTCTGTGACGAGTCGGCTAAGGACATTGCATAGTTGACGAAGTTCATCGACATACTTGTCAAGGATGACAGATTCGACTGCCGACTTAAAAAACCATGTTCCACACATCGCAACAACAGAGACATGTACCACAAGTTAGGATCGAAGAGACTGAAGGTGTGGGAATACCTGTTCCGCGATGCGCCACAAGAACGTCTTGACGAAAATTATATATATAAGAAAGCAAAGGTGAAAGAGACCCTCAAACATTATCATGCTACTCTGACTAGTGCCTTTGAGGCATTCGTTTCTTGATGCGAGATCTTGAAGTTTGATCTTCACAAAGACCAACTAACGTTTAAGGACTATGCAAAACTCGCTAAATCGGGTAAAGAGTTTAATCTTGTTGACAGCGACGAAGACTCCTCGGACTCCGACCTCGATATCGGAAATGACCTTGATGCAACCGGGTGGCGTGGACAGTGCGTTGCCATGGACAACGACGTACATGATCCAGGTTGTCGCATGACGCAGTCATACAATGACTCGGACGGAACCGCACGTTCACAGGGATGCTCCAACCCGCCACCCACGAACAGTATAGCCTCAGTGGTCGACCGCGTCGAGTGTACTCCTATGGATGCAGAGACTGGGATGTGCCGCGGCGATGAAGAAGATGAGTTTGATATACCTGACCAAGCGTCGAAGCTCGCGCCAGGCGAACCCATTCCTCCCAACTTCTGTGCGGACCCGACCACTATCTATTTTTTGGAGGACAAATACGCCCACACTAGTGAGGACAAGTGGGGTCATAATATCATCTGGCATGAGGGCATTTTAGAGTCATGTATCCAAGATGAAGAGTGGAAGATGGCGGTGAGGTACATGCCCGGTTGGAGGACGTTTGACCGAATGGCGAAGGGCACTTGGCCGAAAACGACGGAGCATGCAATTCTATACTGCGTGCAGATCGAGAACCCGGGGCAAAGTGAAACCGTCATCAAAGCAAAGGTGAAACATTTGTTTAATGTCTTGCGAGACAATGGACAGTTGGAGTTTAGCTGCAAGTTTTACGACCTGCGCATGAGCCCCTCACGGGGGTCAATCGACTGGAAGGTCGATCACACCGCCAAGGCCATGGAGGTGAACGCCTCTCCAGATGTCGTGCTCTTGTCCGCACCGGCCACAAGGGACACGAAGGCTAAGCAGAGGGAAAATAATGAGATAATTTTCGACGTGAAGGTTGCATTGATTCCGGAGTACCGATAACGTCTGCGGCGAAAAAGTCCGTGATTGCCATCTCCGTCACTATGACAGAAACATCTGAATGTGTGCATATGTTAATCATTGAGTCGTCGGATGTGGGTGCCACGTACGGGAGTCTCTTGTTGAAAGGTGTTGCATTAGAAGGCAAATCAAAGATGAAGTCCAAGTCCCTTGTTGGGATGAGCGTCGTGGGAATGTCGTTGCAACCGTCCTCATGCACTGACAAAGGTGATGCACACTCATCGCTAACATTAGAGGGAGGGGGTGATGGGGATGGTGGTAAGGGAGGGGATGCAGAGGGGTTGCACTATTCTCACAATCTTAACACCTTGACAACGAGCATTGATGATGAGGCCGGAGATGGAAAAGACCTCGTCGATACTGCACGTGGAAAACATGATGGGTGAGGCGGGGAATAGAGTAGAGGGAAATCATCCGGCGATGGAATTACAAAGTTTCATTTGCTTCTTTGTATACAATAGTATTATTGACTCGTTTATTTTCATTTAATTTGAAACTGGTTCTCATTCTTAGTGGGAAATACTTCTGCAAGGATTTT